AACCTTATTTTGCAGCCTAACTTCCTTAGTAACCATCAGACATCATGCTTGGTGGTAATTTTCCACTACAGTGTATATACTGGGGAACATTAAGTGTTGCTGTTCTTTTTCTGTTGGATCCTGTTCTTTTGCGAGTTTGGTGTGGGCTGCGGCCGTACAGGGTACATTAAAGTGCTCTTTTGAGTTACGCATGTTGTCTGGTCATTACAATATTATAATAAATAATAACCAACTATAATTAGTACGAATAAAGTATAACATACTTTACCTTAATTTTGTTACATTCTGCATGTACACCGAGAAAAAGTGTTGTGCAACAAGTAAACTAATAGAAATACCTGTGAATTCGGCGGGTTGGGTTGGTTCTCCATCTTTCCAGCTTTGCGGCACATGCGTAGTAACAAAAATCGATTGTTTTTTCCTCGATAGAGAATGCCTTGTACGTCCAATGACGTTTTTTGACAGATTGTTCAGGCTTGAGAATCCACTCGTAATTTTCAGAAGCGCAAGCGTAAATTTCAGAAGCAAGCGTAATTTTCAGAAGCGCAAGCGTAAATTTCAGAAGCAAGCGTAATTTTCAGAGGCGCAAGCGTAATTTACGCTTGTGAAACTTACATTTGACGTACATTTTTACGAGTTATTTTTGACAGCGATCTTACTCCATATGATCTGATCACATTTCTATATCTCATGTACTTTTCCTCTTACAACGCACTGAAAATTCAAAACGACGCCCCCTTTGAGAGCTTCATTCGAACAATATGCTACATGAAGCCCTCCTGACATTTAAGACATATTAGTCCATGTGTATGCAGTAAACATATTTATTACTGTTATCGGACTTTAGAATAATGTTTTGAAATGTGCTCAATTTCCTCAAAATTGCATATTTCCATGTTCTCACTTGACCATATGGGCAGTTAACCATCATTTTTGTATTTTTCCCATGTATTCTTATACATCTGAAGATGATCTAACAAGAATTTGGTGGTTTTGCTGAGCTGCTTTCTGTAATTATGATTTATTTATAAAATGAGCTGTCATGCTCTTCTTGCCATACAAATGCAACCAAAACAAATAATATCATAGTTCACAGAATCACAATTCGCATAAGAAAACACTGAATGCTTTATCTAACATGCTGTTTGAGTGAGAGGCTCTCTGTGGGGGGTCATTTTGAATTTTTGGCCAAAAAAGTACATAAGAGATGACTGATCTGCTTACATCTTTACATTCTGCAGGAAAAAGTCAGCCATATTTATAAATTAATATATTAAATTGTTGTTTAATGTGTTGTATTAATAACATGTGGTAGTCCTTACGGATTTTTGCTCTTTTTGATTTGTATAATCCAGCAAAGTAAGTACTCGATTATTTGCATATTTAATTGGGTATGAAAATTGTTTCAGCACTTTATTGGGATGAAAAGTATCCTGTTAATATTCAATTGATATTTTGACGTAATTAGATCAACAAGCTGGATAAAGCAGTGGCAGCTGCCTACACATTTTCTCTGGCCAACCCTGAGCACATGGAAATGAGGCAGAATCTGGAGTACTATAGGATGATGGCAGGAATTCAGGAGATCCACTTCAAAGATCTGGAAGCAAAGCCCCACATGGTGAGACCGTCTCATTTCATTGTACTTTTGTGTTTCCTTTACGTAACATGGTTACTTTTCATTCTGTGCTCCTGTTCTCACAGTACTCACACTTACTACACATGTACTGATTCTTGAGGTAAGAACTGGTTCATATCACACTAGCAATCTAATTATACATGTAAAAACTAAGCATAAGAAAGAGTACAATGAAATTACCACCAACATGGTATGCAGCAACCCAACATGCAGCAGACACTAGCATGGAGATAACCATTGTGCAGTAAAAATAACGGGTCAAGAGTGGGGGGAGGGGCGTAATTACTAATCTCATTTCCAGATCAAAATACAATAAAAACAAAAATCTGTGATTTGTTAATTCACACACTGTTAAAAAATTGTTTAACTTTTAAAAGATCTGTTACCATGCTGACTTAAAATTTTAAGTTAAGATAACTTAAAATGTCAAGCTTGAGAAACATAAATTTAAGGTTATTCTGACAACAAATAGTATGTCACAACAACTTATTCCTTAAATGACAACCCCATTTCCAAAAAAGTTGGGACGCTGTGTAAAATGTAAATAATGTAATGCTGTGTAAAATGTAAATAATGTAATGCAATGATTTGCAAATTGTTTAAACCCATATTTAATTGAAAATAGAACAGGCACCATATCAAACGTTGAAACTGAGAAATTTTGTTTTATGATTTATGATAGTATGTAATTTATAATACATTGTAAAAAATTACTGGCAGCTGTGGTTGCCAGAATTTCACCATAAAAGTTACAGTTGTACTGCTTAATATAATACGGTACATATTATTATTCTGTATAATAAACTATTTAAATCCGTATTTTCCCAAACATTTTCAGATTAAAATATTATGTATTTTTAATGTAAAACTAACAGTTAAGAAAAGGTAAAAACTGCAAAATGTACAGGTGTAGATTTTCTACTGTATTGTAGCATCCGTTGATTCTGGCCATGATGCCATGTCACAAACGCAGTCTGGTTAAAGCTGTTATTCGTAGCCCTTAACAGCACTGTGAATCACACCAATCACCACAACACCTGCTTGTATAATAGCATATAAAAACAGCCATTACTTCTAACGGCAGGAACAGGGGGAGGGTCACTGTACAAACAATGGAAACTACACATGGTGGGTAACTTTTACACAGTCAAACACATGGGGATAAAGCTTAAACTTAAGCAGGGCACCAGTACAGAACACACAATGCATGGAACCTGGAACATTAACTACATGCATGACATAGACAGCGGCCATTCTCAGCATGACATGCTGGGACACATGCAAATAGGCCAGACGGCGCTTGGCTCACCGACGCCACATTATAAGTTCTACTGTAAAATTACAGGAGCACTGTTTAATGTATAACGGTATACCATCTGTTAGGATGAACAGCGGCGAGGCAGCAAGAAGGGTTACAGACCAGGAGAAACTAGGGCCCAAAAATCATTTTCTTTATTCAACAGGCCACAGTGCCCAATATTTACAGTGAACACTAATATAATAATATAATTAAGGAAAAAAAACAACAGCCTGCCATGCCATCTCCCCGGCTCTCATTCAGGCCTTAGAAATAGGCCTCCGACTATACCATCAACAGCTTCAATCAATTAAGCATTACAAGCATCAGAAATATAAATGTATGCATTACCTTAAAACCCTTCACATACCAACACACATTACCACCACCC